GGGCTGGGGCCTCTCCCCCCCTCCGCCCGTCACAGCACGTCCGCCCGCTTGTCCCGCACCCGGCTCCGGGCTTTCGTGCGGGCTTTGAAGGCAGCTGAGTTGTAGAGGTGCTGGGAGGGGAGGGAAGGAGAGATGGGTTAGAGGGTGCCCCTCTGCCCACCTCCCCGCCAGCGCCCGCCACACTCAGACGCTTGGCTGGAGCCCAGGGTGGCAGCAGAGGGGACTGCAGGCACAAATCCGGTGTGGGGGCACCCACCTTCTCAAAGCGGGAGACCTTGCTGGCTTTCAGAGCGGCCGCATCCAGCACCAAGGGGGGCCCGAGGCCGAAGATCTCCCGTAGCAGCTCATTGTTCTGCAGAAGCAGGGGCCTGTCAGCACCCACAGGCACCGGCCCAGCACCCCTGGCACAGCCACCCAGCCCCTACCTGGAGGTGGTGGCGGATGCCGGAGCCCAGCACCTCTTTAAAGGCTTGGTAGGTCCGCTGGCGTGCCCAGCTGTCCAGGTACATGCACTCCAGGCCAAATCGGATGGTTTCCTCCTGGTACTCCCCACTCTGAGCAGAGAGAGAGGCATCAGCAATAACCTGGGTGCCAGCCCTGTGTGTCTCCCGGCTCTCACAGAGAGGGGAATCACCAGGCAATTGAGCAGCAGCTGCACAGCCAGGGGCTCAGCAAGGAAGGGCACCGCCAGCCTCCGGTACCTCGATGAAGCGCAGGATGTCCCGGAAGATGGAGCGCTGCTTCCGTCGGTCCGTCTTGGCTCGGTACTTATTACTCTCGGTAGCCAGGACCTTGAGCTGGGCACGCAGGAACTCTGTATCTTGGTGGCACAAGTCCTCCTACCAAAAAAACAGTGGGGTTTGGAGACGCTGCAGCCCTGGGCACTGCCCACAGCTGCCTGCCCCACTTACTTGTCCAAGACACTCTTGATGTGGGAAGGGGGGCAGATGGTGAGGAGCAGGGACCATGACTGGAGCGCGCTGCAGTGCAAAGGGCCATGCTGGGTGGGTGCTGAACCCCCCTCGCCTGCACTGGGGGTGCTGAAGACGCCCTCCAAGCAGGACAGGCAGGAGACCAAGTCCTGGAGGGGGGAAATCCAACCGTCAGGTCACAGCTGCCAGGAAGATGCCAAAGTGAAGCCACACACTGGGTACCAAAGGGGACCGAGAAGCTCCCTGGGACAGTGGGGACTCCTCCACTCAGGACACACCACCTCTGCGAGGTGGGCTTCCCGCCTCAGCTCAACTCCACACTGCCCAGGGAAGGGGTCTGGACTATCACTGATGTCCCCGTGCCCCTTCCCTGGCTCAGCTCCAAGCTGCCCTGGCACCACGGGCCAAGGGCGAGTGGCATGGTAGCCCCCGGGGTGCCCTCTGGTAGGGGTACGGGTGACACCCAGGTGCAGTTACCTCGAGGTCAGCAGCAGCAATGTAGCAACACATGCCCAGGGCTGTGGCACACTGGTGACAGACAGGGGGAAAAGGCAGTCAGAGGTGGCAGTGCCAGGTCACATCCAGCACCCGCCCGAGGGGAAGCAGGGTCAGAGTGCCCCTACTTTACCCCACTGCTCTCCACAACACCCAGTCCTGCTGCCCTCCCATGACCACAGGGACTCCCAAAGGCATCGCCCAGGCTCTCCCCACTGCCAAGGTGCCCCCTGCGCCCAGGAGGAAAGGGGCCAGGCCTTACACTTTGCCGGGCGCCAGGGCTGGCCGTGCTGTCTGTCAGGACACTGATGAGCAGAGGCTTCAGGCTGCGAAACATCTCTTCCCCCTCCAGACCAGAGCCCATCTGGAGGCAGAGGAGGGTGAGGACTGTGCCTGCCAGCGCCTGTTCCTCCCCTTTACCTGCGGGCAGCACATGAGACCTCCCTCAGACACTGGTCACCGACCCCCCCACCCCCCGTCCCAGCACCCGCCTGCGC